GACAACGGAATTGGAATCATTCCTAACATGGCACATTTTTTGTTACTGTTCGGAGTTAAACACCCCGACATATCAAGAAATAATCCGCGCATTGTAGCTAACAGACTTATCAATTTAACCCTATCATCTTACTCTATATGCATGCGACATAAAACCTTTGTACTTGGCGTATTATGAGAAAAATATAGTCAAACGCTATTTAAACATAAAAGACGGAACACATCTGAAAGATTAAAAGCATATTCCTTTCAACAAGACAGCATAAATATAAGTGGAACTTGCTATTTCTTACAAAGGTATCCGGCATTAAATAAAGGTATTCGTTGGTGCTACCTGGTCATTTGAATGAATACTTCATAATCTACTACTCGGTGTCAAATTGATTGGATATATTATGATTTCTGTTGTATTGAAGTGATTCATTTAAAACAACGCTAATTTGGCCTTGATGTAAACGCCAATGTTTATATGCAAGATATAGGGCTAGGCACTGTTAACGTACACCTCCTTTAATTCGCAAACAGCTTACCTTTTTTTGAAAATGGTGCACCATTTATTTTTCAAACACTACTGAAGAGCACAATTACTTTTGGTTTTACTAAGTGAAGCAGTGATTGTTGTATATTTCAGTCGATATGTCTATAAATTTCCAAGGCAGTTTATTTTTGTTTTATTACCTACACTTAAATGCTAACAGTTTTTTGTGTTTGTGTTTTGTGAGAGCGTCGGTTACCAGCAGTTTTTTTCAAAATGTTCGAGGTCAACTCTGTCTGGTGGATCGATGCTTCCCGATTATTTTATCTCCTAGTCCTTATCGGGATGCGACAATAACTCTTCCAACCTAAGCCTGAAATGTTAGAAGAAGAATTAGAGGAAAAATGCAATGAAGTTGTCATTTTTCAGACGTGCGGAGAAAACATAATTTACACGACAATTATGCGTTTCCTAAGAGATTTGGTAAGATTATAGTCAAAAATCTCGAAAAAATATTATGAAGTCTCGCCGACCACCGATGGGCCTACATACATTAGGACTTTGTGATAGAGGTTTGCTTTGAAAAACAAACGGTCTGTGCACTGTCCGCCCGAAAATATACGGCACTCCTTAAGGGTGCTTAATGCACAACAATTTACTAGTGCCTACGGTCCCAGTGACCCAACTGACCAAGGTTAACTTCACATTGATTTTTCGCGTCGCACTCTATTCAGTGTTGGGCTTGAAAATGCCACTAAATAAACTGAGTATTCAAGCCAAGAACATATAAAATTTTACGCATATATTTAAGCTATTTAGAGACACTACAGAGAAAGAGCATAATTAAATAAGGCCTAATTGGTGGGTCAAGTTTGGACTGCACGTTGTGTGATTGGATTGCGACACGCAACATCAACGTTCTGAATCGTAATTTACATTGAAGCGTACCTTAGTCACTGCAATCACTGGGACCGTAGTCAAAGCAGATGGAACTTGGGTGCTGCTCACCCGAAAACATTGCACAACCACGACGCGTTTCAATGTAATTTCATCTCATCAGATGGAGATAGAAGGCCTCGAATTCGTGACTATTGGTATCGTAGCCGAAAACTCCACCCCTTTGGCTACCGGGTCACGGTGGCAAAGCTTGGCACAACGGTAATGACTAATTGGAGAGTGAATTTTGGACTACACTTTGTGTGATTGGATTGCGACACGCAACCTCAATGTAATGGACTGTGGTTCACATTGAAGTGAACCTTAGTCACGGCGATCACTGGGACCGTACTCAAAGCAGATGGAAATTGTGTGTTGCCCACCCGAATATACTGTACAATCACGATGCATTTCGAAGTAATTTCATCTCATCAGGTGGAGACAGCCGGCCTCGATCCCGAGACCATTGGAATAGTATCCGAAACTACTACCTCTTTGGCTACAGAGTAAGGTAACACATATTTATTTAGCCTATCACCAAGATTGTTAAAGACACAAGCAAAATCTTATCTCTGAAAAATTCAAGATTAATCTCCTAGCTGGCTGACAAAGAAAATACCGGCTGTCATCGGATGAAAACGCTCACATGCTTTGTCAGTACATGCTGCTCAATAAAAACGCAGGTAGAACAATACTAGATATTAATTCGCCCGCAAGCAGATTTATGCTTGTGATCAGATTTTCTCCAATACAATAAGTCTAGTATACCCGGACGTTTGTGTGCTTAATCTGTTTAGTTGAGCAGCTCACAAGTTTTTAAAAGCCTTCATTCATTCATCTGTGATCCCGCCTAAATCTTAGCGGTGACAGAAAACTTATACATATTCTTGTGCTTTAGCTATTGGAATAACTTTCAGTGAGCAAACGTTTTTTAACTGCTAGCAAAATATTCAAGTTTAGTATTAATGCGATTCTAAGGAGTAGTGATCTCATCATCTCATCACGCATTATGGAAGTCTAAAAAACGCTAATGTTTGGAACACGTGTGTTTTAAGCGTTTCTTAATAGTGGTTACTATAAATGGGTGCTTATTGACAATGGACAGCTTGCAACAGGACGGATGTAATACGACGGGTATCATATGGCCATACATCGAAGTCATTTCCGTTTTCCAGGGACACAGATATTTACATGCCAATAGCAGACATATGGGAAATATTTGGCAGTAGCTGCATGAAAAACTGTCATGTTTTTAACCATCATGAGATAATTCAGGGCGACTAAAGTTCCATTAAATTGATTACCATCTTGAAAATATTGCTATTGAAAGTCATGAAATCTAACATGGGCAGATTTGTTTTGGAGCAAAATTTTATTAATGACCTTAAGCTGCATAGGGAAAATATTTGCCCTTTCTAACTATGCCTGTAAATCCGCGTAAATAAATTGAGAAAAACAAATGCGTTTATGTGGGCCGTTTAAAAACGTTTTAACGCCTATTGGAATCAAGGTTTGTTGAAACATGAAATCTACGTCAATACCTGAACTGAAGATATGCTGGCAGATTGCACACTGTGACTTATTCTGAAGAAGTTCAATAATTTGAACCGTAGATACTGAAATTTGTCTGCAATAAGCATGATTGGTTTTTATATTTTCTGTAAACCTAGTGATTTGTTTGGCGTGCGGTCGATGACAATATATTCATAAGTATCGTGATGTGTTTTCCTAAAAGAAGTTGCATTCGGTTACTATAAAAAATTGTAGTTCAAAAGCGAAATACTCAGGAAACAATTTGTCCCCTCGAGAAATAATTTTTCACAGTTTTCCTGTTGCACATTAGCGGTGCGGAGCTCAAGTAAAGTGTTTTCAAAATAATGTGTAAGCCCACACCGCAGCAGATGTGCATGTCCAAGTATTGCATAAAGGATTGTGTGTTTGCCGTAAAGGTAGTGACTATAAGCAGCTTCACAGTAATCGGCAAATGAACCACGTTCTGCCGCAAAAAGCGAAGGAAGTGATGAGAGAATTGTGAAATGTTTTATATATCAGATGTTCCTTGCTTCATTTTGGAAATAAAATATCCGATGAGCAGTGCTTATTTAGTTGCCTGATGTAACAAATTGTGCTGCCTATATGGCAGATCAAAGAAGTAGAACCTAACGTATTAAGAAAAAATTTGCGATGGTTCTTATAACACTCAACTAGAAATAAGAGTGCCAAGATGACAAAATATAATTTAAAAACGAATCAATATTTAAACGACAGTGAGCGAATGTAAAGAGGTAAACTTGAGAGGAAAACATGAATTTTTAAAAGATACTTCGAACGAAATTTAACAATTTGGCAAAACAAGTAACTGATTAGTTCAACTGTATTTTTAACGGTATGTAAGCGCTAATACCTAGCGATATAGATTATAATGTGGAATCTTTACCAGTAGTACTTACAAAGTAATTCGTAACGTTTTTTCAGTAGCCTATAGCTATAACCCCGTAGAGGACAAAATTTCCAAGTATTTTGACAAACCGGATATCAAAGTGTGCAAATGCAGCCTGCTACTGCAGACGTTCAAATTTGGGAGCGCGTTCAATACGACGAATATTTTGTAAACTTCTTTGAATCCTTGAGTCGCTAGGATCTGTGGATCTAAGTTGGAATCTTCAAAAGCAAGATACTAGCGGGCAACTTTAGATATTACTTTAGACCTCTATAAATCACACTCCTGGATTCCAGGGGCAGTCTGTGGGTACATTTTTAAATCGCTAACCATTAACATCTTAAAACTTCATTATTTATGAAACCTTTAAAATAACTGTTCAAAGTCTACATTATGAGCAATCCGTTTGACCTTAATGGAATATTGATGAAACAGGGTTAGATGAAGATATTGAGATTCTAAGCCTTAGTTCAAAATTCGGACATGGTAATAACCGCGAATATTCGTTATATTTGAATTGTCAGTAACCCTTAATTGAGATTTCGTCGCGTGCATTTGAGCCGTCTCTAAGTTTTAAAATTACTTATCAGCTGTGATTTATGTTTCGACGAAAAGTGTTAAACACAACTGTGAACGCTATGAAGAATGAAATTTTAATAGAAAGCATTTATAAATGCATATAAAAGAACTGGCAATTTTAACGAAAATGAAGGAAAGCCGCCAGAAATTATCAGCAAAAAAGCCGTTTGAACAATCCTGATCGCAAACTGATGTAACAAAAATGTATACAAAATGACACTGTGGCTAATGATTAGTGGATTCTGATGGAAAGCGACAGTTTTTATAAATACAGTTGAATCACAAAAAGCCTCCAGATTCCAGGTTCAGAGAAATAAATAGACTCCGTACTTATTCTGATTTTAAATTGCCAACTGCCATGAACTCTTTGTCTATCATTTGGTCTTATGCGGATGTCGTCATTAATGTAGGTTCAACTTTTCCAGATACAGAATGTCTTCAGATATATCATTTAAGCTGCTTTTGTACTATTTATTACAAGAATCTCGAATTTCACAGTTGGTTAGTCTACTGCCAAACGACCTGGGTTAATCATGCAACTGCTACCGTTTTTACTTTCTCCGTTCTGTAGAATAATGGTTATCCTCATCTGCATCACTGTAATTTTATGCTTTGGATTACGCCTCAATGATTGGTATCGCCGTTACAAACTAATGCAGAAGTACTTCGTCTACGTGACTAAAGATCCTGGTGACTCTGATAAAGACCTGTTTGGAGAAGAACAATGGCCCGAAGACACTGACGCCGTAAGAGATGCGGGACACCTTGTCGATCCAGTTGAAAAAATATCTTCAGTTGCATCATCAAAGGGCATGGTACTGACCCTGTGTAATCTTAACCCTATACGGTAAGTGTTGTTCAAATGGAAAATACTCCATTTGTGTAAATAATTATACCACATTATAGCTCCGTGTTATAAACAAAATAAATCTGCTAAATTTACTCAGTAATGTGAGTAAGGTGACCTCCGTTAAGCGTGAGAAAATCGTTAAATAAGCATAAATTTTAAGAAAACACCAGGAAATGTAAAAGCCTAATTAGCAAATAACGGAAGCCTAAGAGAAATTATCAACAGCTAGTTAACACACTTGATGTTAATCTAGGAAGCATGCTCGACTGTGGCAAGTTAAACTAGCCGTCTGTTACCTTCAAGAATACATGATATTTATCAAGTTGGTATACTACGTATCCAGTGTCTGATCTTATTCCTATGCGTGCTGCAAAAATGTATTCAACTTTTGAAAGAATGCCACTTGTCAAAAGATTAAATTCTTATTTAACATTAAACAACCTGATGTGATCATATTTTACTTCGGGCCATTTAATAGGGCTAACGAAGTATTATTGTAAGCTTGGCCGAAACATTTGGTTAGAAAACATGCTGATGGCCGGAGCGACAGGGTCAAGCCTGATAACATAATTCATGTTTATGTATTGCAAATTATTGAATCAATGTTACTTTTCTAATTAAACAATTAGGATAGAACTAAAATCAATAGGATAGCTTCCTCCTGTTTTCAAGGCGACCACAATGGTGATCTTTCATACATATACATCAGGTGAATATGTATTTATTACTTGTTGTCGCAACAATATACATTAGGATAAATGGCAATTTTTAGTACAAGCCAGCGCCTACAACCTGAGTGATGTCATGATTTGCTGAAGTTGCTTTAAGGTACTATTGGTCATCGTCGCGAATACCTTTAAAATTGTAAGGACTTTGTACACGGTGGGATTCCGTCCGAATCCGACATATTGTTTGCCGTTACACTTGTTTATGTTGCACGATCGACCATAGGTATGAAATTGAATAAATTCTCTAAGTTAACTTATATTGCCTTGTGGATGCACGTTGCGTCCAATGTCTGGTATTGCGACGAGCGATCGGACAAAACGACCTCCCTAATTTTCGACAAATGTGTAGAGCGTATGTTCGTCCCCATATCGCATACGCCATTCTCGCCTGACATCCATGGCCAAAACACGACCGTATTGCACATAAGGCACCGAAATCTCTTAATGGATTGCGCACTCTCTCATACGAAAAAGTCTGAAATGATGAGAGGTGGGATATTCAGAGGAAGGTACTGCAGATTTACAGGCAATCAAATAATGGTATATTGAATCTTCGCGTGACACATCATGTGTGCCAATCCTTACTACAACTCAGCAGCAACACGAACCTGAGAGCTTACTCACTGAAACTCGCTGAACAGTATGGTCCTCTGTAGTGCCGCAGAAAGTTATTTCCCCTCATGTATGTCACCCGATTCAGGCATGAATTGGTCGTCCTTGCAAGGACACTAACATAATTAAAAAAGAGGTTGGCCGCCACATTTATTCAATTAAAGTTTGTCTCTTAACACTCATTCTAACATGCTTCCGGTATATATTTATTATTACATTGCTGTTACTTCTGCGTGTTGTGAAAAGACACCGTTTTCAATACAAAGGCGGAATAAATGATAAGTCATTCTTTGCATAAATGAAGTACTAACTGTTTCGGTATTACTTTCCAATAACCCGGTCAAACTACCCAACGAAACATAAACCAGTGCTTCTTAAACAGTATAATTCCATCGTTCTTTGTTCAATGTTCCAGTCGGGTTTTGGATATGTTGCGTTGCACTAATCTTGGAGGCTTCACAAAAAAGTGTTGCGTTGCTTTGTCACCTAACCGAATCGGCGATTTGAATCAGATGTGCAGGTAAACTGCTAGTGAGGGCAAAAGGTAACACGCACGCCACCATTCTAGAACATTAATTTCCGTTTTCAACCGGCACAAGGTACGTGCCTCGAGTGAACTATCATCTAGTTTGTTCTATCCCGGTTTGCTCGCTAGATACTTCGCTTATTTAGACCCGTGTGTTGCGCTATACAAATTTAATCTAGAACGATTAATTCTAACTTGCGGTAAGCCTAATTGTACATTTGGGTTCATTGTCTGAATATGTTAATCAACTGGATAATGATTGTACTTTCGAGGAAATGTAGTTTACTACTTTAGCCGCTAAACAATATTTCTCCCGATTTTTCAATGCTCTAAATGAACCTTCTACGTTTACTACTAGCGGGACCTCACTTTTTGCTGTCCAAAATGGTTCCAGCATTTATGACTGGATATTAGAAAATCAGAACAATAAATTGAATGGAAAAGAAATAAGAAAACCTGTTACAAGAACTCGAACATTGGTTTCACTGGATTTACTACGTCGTACTGGTCTCCGAATCGAAGAAATGCTCAAATTGTAAGTACACCAGATGTAGAGTGATTTCTGTTAAAAACCCGAATAATGAAAGCACAATCGTCACAATCTGACAAACGCACAACCAGGTTTAGGGCGTTGTAGCAAACAGGCCCCGTGTGACGACAACGCGCCTAAGCCATGCATTGAGGTTTCTCTATCCAATATCACCACTTACGCTTATTGACCGCACAATTTGCTTCATTGATTTATTACAGTTAAATAATCATCTTTTATCTGTGGGGTGCCAGTGTGATGCGAAGCATCGAAAACAAGATGTTCGCCTAGGAGCCTTGTGGTTTTAAATCTTTACCGGGTTTATTTTCTGTTTAGCTGTTTTCATTTGTTCAAAATTCGTTCGGTGCGACTGGTTAATAAATGCAACTTCAACGATAACCACATCAACACACTAAACTGCACATACTCATTATGCTTAGTTAGATGTAAACGTAGTCAGTTTGCTTTTACGAAGCTTCTGGATTGAGCTACGTCATAATGGCCAGTATTGTATTGCCAACATTGTGACAGTGAAAGTTAACCACATGGTCATCTTAGTTAGCATGCAGTGCTATCGATATAATTGAGTTAAACTGCTGTTTTCCTGAAAAGAGTTTGTTCTTGTCGTGTAGTATATACAAAGAATATCATACCAAATTGGGAGTTGTACACATCACTATCTGCATCATACTTGTGAAAACAAAATAAGGTAATATACCACGAAGGTAACAATCTGCCATTGGATCACTTTCATCCTGCGGTTTATTGACTACAATAGTCCAAGGCATATCCGTTGTCCGTTTATCCGAAACATTTAACCAGCTTTGGAATATAAACCAAATGTGCGAGCATTTGCATGTAGGTACACCTTCACCTTACGCCCTTCTACTTCAAGCAGCCAACATTCTTTTGAAATATGCAGCATAAAATTTTTCAGCTGTTTGCTCAGAAAGATGTGCGTGCATTTCTCACTTTGTACTATGATAAAATATGTTACATAAACGGTAAAATAACTGGAGGATAGTTTACCATAATTACTGTAAAACTATGGTAACAAAACAGTCAGTGGCAGCAAAATAGTTTGTAGGCCTAATGGCTTAGAGCGTAGTTGTACGTCAGTCATTGCTGAACCCAGTCGAGGTGGATCAGAGCACACAAGGCGTTAAGCAATCAAATTTTTCGCTCGAAGCAGAACCAAGGAAAAGCATGGCGGTGGAAGACGCAGCGTAGCGTGTTTACGGAGCGAACCACAGAAATGATAGACGGAGCAAGTATGTAGTGCAGCTAGTCACGGTACCCCAATTGTCTGTGGGGAAAAACTGGTAAGTCAGCAGTGACTAGAGGCAAGATATTATGCAAATAAAAAACCTGTGTACAAAATGGGGAACATCCTCCGGAAAGTGAAGGGCTGTGTTCTTGCCAAATCTTAGAAAATGTATATGCTGGACCGCCGAGGTCGAACTCTGCGTTCTAAGGCTATAAGATGTTCCAGTACTCCGAAGAGTAATCAGCATCTCTCACATACCCGTTCCGCTCTTCCAGGGAACATTATTTCTATAAGTGGCACGTAGTTTATCCACTGTTCTATGGAAGTTGCTATAGTTGAGCTTCCATAGTTTGTTTGATAATGACAGAATTCCCCCAAGATTATCACAGGTATCACTCGCGATTATAACAGAGTCAGTAACACGATTTCTGCAACGCTGTCTAAAAGAAACAACTGTTCTCCAACTTGTGGAAGCAGGGTACCATTACCACGATTTTCAGTAGTGGTAGCCTTTTGGAGAACGTCAATTCTCCCCCAGTGATTCTTCTCAAAGTTATCTCAAAGGTGATGGAGGCACTAATAGAGAAGGTACTAATGGGCTAGTTACAAATGTCTAAACTCATAGCGCTGGAGCTGCTTAGATTTAGTCATTCTCCCTTTATACACTGTCAAGCTTCTGATAGTGATGGCAACTAAACTGAATTAGCCGATAATAGGACCGTCACCAATGTCATCCATCTATAAGTTTCACAAAACTTTAACCACTTAGATAACTACATCCTTCTTTAAAAGCTGCACACGTACCTAATTTGGAAAGCTACCTTTTTGTGGATCGGGAATTGCTTTTTTCAGCGATGGCTTCATTTTATGCTTTTTGATGTAGAGTGTGATGGTTCACAAGGTTGAAGGTCAGGGCCGTACTTCTTATTTTTTCATTAACGACCACGTGAGTGCAATAGAGTCAAATATCCTGCTTTTGGCTGATGCCATTAATATACTGCGGATGATCGGTTATTTGGATGACCACCAATCTGCTGCAAAGGGTAAGACCGTGCTTTTGGAAGGCCACAAATATAATCTACTACGTTCAACGCGGGCAAGTGCAGTACTATTCATTTACGCTACAAGACCAATAGCGCATAAAGCTTGCAGACCACATCTCGATGCCACCTCAAAGGAGCGCGGCCTTGACGTGTTGATGCAAGACGACTTCGGCTTTTAGGCGCAGTATTAATATCGTTTAAAACTGAGAAGCCAAATGTTGGTCTCATACGGAGAGCGTTCGGGCGGTTCGACCCCTCCATCATCTCTTAAATTTTTAACATCTGTTGGGTTCCACGTGGTCTACGCGATTCAGGCTTTACAAACCTGGGTTAAAACTCGATTGAGTTGAACTGGAGACCGTATAGCCAAGCGCAGCAAAAATTCAAAATTATTAGTCTATCTAGTGTACCGCAGGAGACTGAAAGCTCCGGGATTGTACGGCAGAATTTATCGCCTACTATGTCTTGATCTCATCACGAGGTACCATGATTGAAATACTCCAGTCACTTATGTCACACCATCATGAAACAAACGCAACACATAATTGAGTGGTCAACAGCTAACACCGACCACCAAAATAAAGTCGGTTGGAACGTCCCCATAAATATTTTCTATTCGCAGTTATTCATCGTAAAACGTTCTTTGAACTTTTGTATTTTCTGTGCGCATTTTTTGTAAAGTGATTATATTATGCACTAGACAAGATGTATTACTTGATTTGCACTCTGTTTACTGAATGAAAACAAGCAGCAGACAAACATTGCTTTTTCTATCCGTCACGAAATATTGGTAGACAAATTTACCTCTGTGGTAACCTGGATAACATGGTGAGTCCATTTGAACTTATATAGTTCACACAAACCATGCTCAAGGACTATGACGCATTGGCAATGTTCTCAATCTTTATTATTGTTCAATTGTAGGTAGTTAGGTAGAGAGTGTAGGTTGAAATAACACGCGCGATCATTGAGAATCATTCTTCGAACTAGAAAACGTCTGATGCCTGTTTCCACCATACTACACATTGCCATAGCACCGGCGACTTAACTCATTGTAAACTGGATGAGTTTTACAAATGAACAACTCGTCCATATTGCTGCCATAGCGTTTAGTGGTTCATAGCTCGTTGTATACTTTGGTTGATCTTCCTTGCTTGAGGCTTCCTCACGGAAATGGGTGAATCTGGCTTCTGCAAACTTATTTAGCTATATTGATTGAAATATTTTATTGTTTTCTCCCAGACTTTGTTGTTGTTATTGTTTTGACCAAATGCATGGTTACAGAACATGTGTAAGATAACAAAACCAGCGCGGTTATTTATGCATAAAAATCAAACGTTCATTTCCTTAATTACTTGGATTAGTCTGAAGGAGACAGGTGTAGGATTGCAGCTAATTTAAATAATTCGGTCCTTTAATTTGTTAAAGGGTACATTGAATTCCAACCTCCATTTGGCCCTAAAGTTTGCTTAGCTAGATGATCCAAAACTATATCGCGCATAGTACACCATCTGGAGATAAATATGATGGTAATAAACTAATTTTATTATGCGCGAAGTTCATGCAACTCGCGTTAAATAATAACTAAATTAATTCGCTCCGGCGTGTTTGTTTAATTCACAGCATTGAACGTTACTCCGATCCGGGACTGAAATGAAATCAGATTAGTGGATGTGATGCATAACTTCTAATAAAGTGACACGTTAGTTAACACCTTGACATTATTTTGCAGGGTGTATGCGTTAAAATGTTTATATTTTAGCTGTGTTTAATGAATTGCACATATGTATATTCATATTGCTTGGAAACAATTAATGAATGACTTTTTGTTTGGTCAGTTCTCTGATGATAGGTCTAAGAATTGGCGACGGACCAGCAGAAAACCGGTGGTGATAGCTATCAAGTTAAATCTTTGACAGGGCAACGAGCATAATCGATTGTAAATTATGTGTGCTTGCATGTAGGTTGGAATGTAATTAACTAGCTGACTGTGTGTCTATAAATTACTATGGTATGCAATTACATATTACATACTTTTGCTAAGACACAGGAGGGTAGGCAACATTACTCTAGTACATCTGGCTGCTCTGTAGCTGTTGATAATAACTATTACATATCCGGTTTACATTCGTGCTAGTTCTCTTTACTCATTAGCTAATACACATCATGGCAGCCAATTGTAGTATCATTTTGATTAAGGCGAGAGAAGGTGTTATGAAAAGTAGGACCCTTATTGATAGTGTTTGCTAACAAGGTGCTTGCGCTTGAATAATATTAAGCTCCGTCGTATCAACCAGCAGGCAACCGTCTCTTTATTGTTCGATGTGTGGGTGGCAATTGCATTAAAATTATGTGAATACGTTGGTTAATTTTCATCGGAAGGCATGTGTTTTGTTGAACCTATTATTATGTGTATTTTCTAGTTGTCGAAGTGACAAATATATTTATGAATCTGGAAACTTCTCCACAATCTTGACCCACTACGGATTATGTTACCTGGTGGAAGTGGAAGCGGATGGTGAGTGTCTTAAATTTACAGACAACGTCTAGACTTGTGCGTAGTTTACTTGAATAGACTAAGGATATCAAAATTTTGCACTGTTGTAGTGACCTGATATACACACGCACACTCAGTGGAATGTTACTTTTATGATAGGTTAATAAAGCAGTGTTATGGTAGTCCAATGTAATATCATTAGTTTACGGAATAAAACATTTATGTACATCTAACTATCATTTATAATTGCAGTAATAAGTGTTCTGGACTGAGTGTGATATAAATAAAGAAAATGATGTATGTTTGCGAACATGCATGACACCGACCAAATACGTTATCTCCTCATTATTCACAATATATTTGAATGGCAGAGAACTTTTTTTAAATTTTACAATATAGTTGATGCGTTAGCTTTGCGGTCATCCATTATTTAAAACTAATAATATCGCGGTTAATATAGCATAGGAATCCATACTGGCAAAGCAAGCGATTCAAGTAATATAATACGACCTAAGGAATCGTTTCTTCACCCATGAAACTTATTACAGTTTATATTCAATGAAAATTGTCCCAGGTTTTTATTTATTATAAACAAAAGACGTAGATGCGAGGAAAGTAGTTTACAAATTGACTGAAATTGTGTAGTGCCAAGTTTTCCCTATTTTGCCACTAGAGATAAAACGTCGCTTAATCCAGTGCTCAGTACATTCAAAACTAACTTTATTTTTGGATGCAGTTGGTTAGCTAATTGTCTTATTTTCTAAACCTTATGAATGTCCACGATAAGATTAACACAATTTCAAAATATGCTTTGTTTAATACTCGAGCATATATCACTTCTTATCCTTTGGACGTAATGACATAATTCTATTTTTCATGTGCCATATTTTGGTCCCAGAATGCGTCCTGACTAGCATACTGCAAATCTTTCAAGGAATATTAGCGGCATGTAAATATTGTACTCTTTTATATACCAAAGCAACATAACTAGTTAGATAAACATATGGACCTTCGAAAAGCTTAACCTAGTCATGTGGATTACAGCTATAAATGTGAAAACTTTTACAACACTTGTATTTAATTAAGTATATTGAACAACAATAATAAAATTTTATAATCAAGTAGACGAATTGATAACACTAAAGTATTTTACGAACAAAAATGCTGTTATATTTCTAATATGGGTGTTGCGTATCCTGCTAATACATTTGAACAGCAAAGCCTTCATTTTGCACAATGCAGTAATTTCTTGAACAGGTACAAATACTTTAAAAACGGTGCACTGAAAGTATAAAACTGGGAATTTTTGCCACAGTTTTGAAAACCGCAATCCTGCTATCGAAGCAGTTTGCTTTTTTCTACGAACTGTTGTTCTAGTTCGTAATATACATTGCATCTTGGATCCGCAAGAGTATGACTATTTGATCTACGGATACAACGCAGTGGGATTTCGAATATGGCTACATTTTACTAAGAAACAGGCGATAGCCGATTTGCAAATAGACCAGCACTCTACATACGTTGATCTCCATGCCGCGGATGCTCAAATCAAAGGCATTCGTCCAAACGAAGTGATTGTCGGCTCAAATTTTGATACGGTGATCCGTGTTGTTGGGAACTTGAAGGTAATTAATGTAGTGTAATTTATTTTTATGGGTCTTATTTTGCTTCCTGGTCTCAAATACACAATTGACCTAGTTCGTAGCTTAGTTATACCGGCATGCATAGATCCCAGGCGTATTACCATCTCTTAGGAAGCAAGATTTTAGTTTAGTCGACTAGATGCCCATCAGAATTGAATGGCTCGCTATTGAGTGTTTGGGGATTATAATATTGCATGACACCTATTTATATTCTTTTCAAATTTTAGCAAGTCAGTCTCAAAGGCAGTATGAGAACGGTATTTCTTCCGCTTAAACAGCAAGAGTAGGTAGCTTCTGTAAGCAGACAGTGACGTTATATTTGTTACTGTGTAAGGCGTATTGGTTGCCTGGAAATCTGTGGTTTCCACTCGATTCCAGGCAAAACAATGTTAAACCGCAGCGCACGGCTATTCGGCACAGCATAATTGGTGAATTCAATTATATTTTGGTACTGTAATAATGCAAATTTATAATACGTATTGCTAATAGACCTTACCGAATATCCTAGCGCACCATGGCAATGCATCCGTATCTGCTGTGTCCAAAAGATTCATTAGGACCGATATCTAATTTTATTGTAAATTGCCCGATTAGATAATTGCGCAATTCCTTCAATTTGCCAATGTCATGCTAGAGCTGATTACATTTACGATGCGCTTGCTATTATTTCGGTTCGTCAATTGTCTTTTATGCTCAAAAAGACCACACATAGATGCGCAAAACTCCTAGTAGACAGAGCCGTACGTGAAAGGATAACGACGCAAAAAACACCAATTACGACTTGTCAAATTGTACACTAAATGTCTCTGCTTTCTAATCAAACTGACATTGATGATAGACGTTGACAGGAAAAGGGGCCGCCAGTTTACTGATACCGTAATAGCGAAATATTGCATTAAGTGGCATGTAGCAAATACGCATTTGGACATATGTTGAGACTGTTATCTCATACTGCTATTTCTGATTGATTCAAAAACTCTTATTCCAGACATTTATCTGCTCAACCTAATAATGTGGTGCAGGTTAAAATTGACATGTTTCGTTTTACTGGTTTAAAATAATGTTAAAAATGGACTCCCTTTATTGAGAGTCAAGTACTAAAATTTGATTAAAATTAGAGGTGTGGCGCACGTTCAGACTAATTTTACAAACATAAATTAAATATTAACTGCCTGTTAGTATATACTTTATGCATTACGATTAATTCACTGTAGCATCGATTCAACGGTATTGTGTACTATTAAATGTTTCAAATTAACTAAACTTAAGTATATTAAATATATTAGTCAAATAGTACAATAACATGTTAATTTAGAGTAGGATGGAAAATCATGATTTTTAAGGTAAAACAGAGTGCCGTCTTCAGAGAACGATGAAACCGAAGTCCTGAATGGCGAGGCACGAACCAAAGTATTGCGTCTCTAATAGAAACAGCGTCAACTCAGAGAAGAAGCGCGTGTGTACATGCATGTTTATAACAAATCATAAAGCTAGGAAATGCACAAGCTTTGCGGCACATGTGGCGGCGAAATGAAAAATAACTAATGAGAACTGGAATAATTAGCACCAATTGTCGGACCGTTGAAATGTCATCAGTTAGTTAACGCACATTGTCCTCATCATTCACTAGAAGTATGAATTCTGTTTACTGAGTAGCAAGGTGGATCCAAATGGTCGTAGTATACAAAGATACCGTTCTTTTATTCATCCGCGATTAATAATGATAGTTACATAGAAAGCAAAAATAAAATGGTGAAACCAAATGTGTTGTTGTGTTGTAACAAAAGTGGCTATCAGTTTTATTATCCATTCTTCTCTTTAAAAGCTAGTCAAAGACTGATTATATACCATGGCTACAAGTGTTCCGCATTTAACTTGAATACACCTTTTATTGTTTTGCGTTTTAGGAGTGGCTATGCTGCAACACGAATATATACACACACCGCTTCTACTGTGTAGAAAATGATTAAACGGTTTTAAGGGCTTGTGGTTAAGTAGTTATTAACTTATACCACACGCGAGTAATTACAGAATTTTTTATAAATAAGCGAAATCGGATTTGTAATATAAAATATTCAGGATAAACCTTTTAGACGTTTATCGCAATGGCTGTTTGGTTGCACTGCGTTAAACGTTGCTGAAGGAAGCAACGGAAATTTTAGTGAAATTTGCAAAATTTGATTACGAAAACTGTGTTTAATGCAAGCAAACATTCGGTGTTACACTTGAGTTAAACGGCGCAACACTATCTTCTTATGTTTCATTAAACTCATCAGGTAGACATAGTAAAAGCCGCATCTAATATTATTCGGGAGCTAGCATATTAGTTAGCTGTGTAAGTAAATTTTGTATGCCACACAAGCAAATTTTATTACTAACTGGTAATTGCTCCTCAACTACGGAGATACATTTTATTTTAGGTAAAATGTAAGTTTAGTAAAGTTTCCAAGAAGCGTGCTTTTGATTTATTACGATTTATGTCATTATGTTGGTGTCAAGGCTCAACATACCAAACTACCTATAAATGTCCAAATTGAAATATCTCCCATTCCTAAAAAGCGTTTTTTGACTAAAGAGTGATAAACTTGTTACCAAGGCCGTACTACAAAGGGGCGTATTTATTGGCTTTTTATAAGCAGTTAAACTGTTATAAAATTGATTAACATAAATTTGCTTGTATAATTAAACTGTTAGCGAATGTCAAAAGTGATAAGGTATGCTAATTGTACCGTTGGAATCACACACTCAGATGAACTATCATACACAACCGAATCAATTGCGATTTAGCAATGGGATGTTTCTAGGTCAAGCGAAATACCACGAAAACTTTACCCGGAACATTAGTAGGTAAGGAGAATTGTTCCTTGGTTATGGTGTTGCTTATTTGGACAACTTAAGTACGGACATTTCCACAACATCATAGGCGAGGTCATGCCCTCAGAATTGGTAGCACGTAGGTTGCAAACGTTGATGGAGATTGAACATAAGTTTAGTCTGATTCTAGTAAATGCAGTTAAGGAATTAGTTCTGATAATTGCTACTCCACGAAACGGAAGTTTGTCATTTGCTGAGTCATTGCGTCCTTTGTTTGAAGGTCTGCCAACTTTTCATAAATATTCCAAATAGAGATTCATTTGGTTAAATAACATCCTTAATGTAGTGTTAGCTTCAAACAAATATTTGTGTTCTAGATTCGGATAAGCCGCAACTGGATTAGTAAATTAAGAAAAGTACATAACATTAATTTACAAGAGGCATGCCACTGGGCCAGTTTCCCTTAAGTTCGCTTGTGAGAATATTAAAACATTAAAATAGCGACTTATTGCTTAAGCGCCATATATCCTGATTTGATGTGCAATAACCTTAAACATCTTTCAGACACAGTTAGATACGAAATAATAACGTTTCTTAATGATCCTAACATAAGCAATTCACAATGGCGGAGCCATACCTTGGTCCAAGATTTGCTTTTGAGTTATTATAAATCACCTGGTTTTAGACTGCACATATAATAAAATAGATTCGCAGGATTTTTTAAAACAATTGCGTAAATTCATTAACCTCTGCTATCTAGAACATGCAAAATAACCTACTTCCTAATAGAAATTAGACTGAATATGTGTTAGAGAATATCAGTAAAATATTCCTAAACTTCGACTATAAAATTGGAAGGACATAAGGATTCTTTTTAGCAAAATAGACCTCATTCGAGAAATAGAAATTGAAACTAGTTAAGCATTTTAGGCTACATGTGTTCCATACTAAAATTAATATGTCACTTTCGAAATTAAATCAACTCTTTTCTGACGCAAAGCATTGTGGGATCAATTAAGTTGGAAGCTGAGCAAAAATGCATCATGTTTGTCCTACAAACTCAGCATTAAGCCTTCTACTTCAAACTGGTTTTAGCGATATTTTTAATAACTATTTTATTTATTATACATACTTAATTCAAAATTGTCAAGAAGTCTATAGTAAAATATAATACGCAAAAGTTACATGAGGAGATAAAAACCCAAATTATTCGGAGCTTTAACCTGACTACTCATCATTGCGCACAATGAAATTTCCCTTCAAATATAGTAAATCCCGCAGTAAAACATTATATTTCGCTTAGCTTTCTCTGAAATAAATTAAAGTTGTGCAAGCCTGGTCCTCCATTAATTTTAAATTTAGGTTCTAGGTAAAATACAAACCACTGACGTCATCGTCCAAAGTCTTCGACAAGTGGCCCTTTGTATATGGTTTTTCAACTGCATAAGTCAGATGGAAAGCCCCTGGTCTCGTTACCTTATTAATTTCATAAAGTGCATACAAGAAGTGCATGACGTTATTTGCACAGTACAGTAATTAATATATATTGCATACACCTTATTTTGAATCTAAATGTTTACCAGTGTGATTTATCCAAACTTAGGTGTAAGCATAGTTGGTTTATATTTCCAGTTAGTCGTTGTTCAGACTTATGCCATTGCGATTCATTTTCCCTTAAGGAAGTATGTTTTGCAGCATAGAAATTAGAGAAATTATGAGGCATTTTACGGAGCTTTGTTTTTAACAGGATTGATCAGATATTTAAAAAGCCATGTTACTTTCTGTTCTACACATTGCTCAGAGGATATGCGGAGATTTAAGCGGCGCATTCCCATAACATGTAATATAAAAGCCGGTTTTCTGTCGCATACACTACACACATTTATTGCAAAACATTTCGTAGACTGGTTTTAATGGCTACGACTACTTGGCTAGCAAATCGCTTACTTATCAGATAATGTTTGGCCCTGATTTATTAAAAATAGCTATTTTCAGTTACTATCCAGTGGTACAGTGACTAATATGCTTTCTTTGCTGACTACGTGGTTTGTATCTATTTGTTACTTTCAGCATCGTGCAAAATGTCAAGCCATCACTTACCCATCATGCGGCCTATCATGTTTGGGTCCTGAGAATGATGTTAATGAGCAGGATAACGCCTGTGAGTCAGTAACGTTGTGGTTACGCTTTTATGTGTGTTACTCAATTAACTTTGTTCTCAATTACAGTACAATGATATATTTGGGCGCAGTGGCATTTTGCCCAGGTCGCGCTAGCGTTGGTGAGTAAAATGCACTCACCTATCGCAACTGCTTAAACTTTACTTTTAGTAGTATAGTGCGCAAATCTACATGCAGCATAAACAAACCCAGTCCTTAGCAAACTAAACAGTCGTAGATCTGTACAACATAGAATTATTCAAGGAAAATTTGGTAGCAAATTAAAAATAAGATGCGGAGTTCGTAGATGTCAAGACTACGAAAGTGAGAACGATTCTTTGGTAATTGCAATGAGCTAGCAAGCGAATTCTCATCGTGACATTTTCAAACTAACGCGCCACTAAACAAATAGAAAACTTGCAGTGTTTTGCTCAGATGCCAGTAAAAAGAGGTAATCAAGGTTGTACTCAGCAGATCCGCAATATACTCATGCCAGTATGTGGAAAATCACTGCTTGCAACACAGAAAGTATAAATGCTTATAAACCATTTGGTGTCAATAAATAAAAGTAAATATGTCGTAGACTGCAACGCTTAGAACTGTTCAAATAAGCTTTGTATACAAGTAGTAGAATTGTTTCCAAAAGATGGAAGAGTAACTGAATGCCAAGAGACAGGGGAATTATCAAATGTATGAACAAGCGAAAAGTCCGCAACCAATTTACTCCATAATGTTTACAAGTTTAACATATAATGGTTAGCAGTGAAATGCAGTTGCCATACCGAATATTGTACCATGTGCTGTCAATCAAATCGTTTTAATAATTCTAAAAATCATTTAAGTGATGGTATTGTCGTAAATGCCAGAGCTTTCAACAATAACCTTTTATTGATTTATAGGCTTACATATATTTTGGTGAGACTGCAAAATTACTCTGACCTTATGCTGACGATGTTATATTTTTATGTTAGACTACGGCTATGGAACTAGTAAAATAAGCATAATTTATGTCTGGTGGGAGGACATGGAGGTGGTTTCTACAGAAGACGTTTAGTGGTCATTATTACTTGGTAGCAAAGCTATTTGATAGTAAGCGAATGGGGATTTTCCTTCTTGTATCTTAGGAATGTAAATTCCTCGTTTAGACATCCTGCATGGTCAGTATTCAGCAAAGATTTTATATGATTGCAGCGGCGGATCATTTTCCTTTTTGACACGGTTTGTCGTGGTGCGCTTTGTCTCGCTGCGCATAATCACTTGGTCATTGTTTCGTTAATTAACATACACAAAATTTGCGGTGCGAATAATATGGCTAGATATGCATCTGAAAGAAAAGCTCTGAATACAGTGAGGCTTCCATCTTATAGGCGTCCGTGCTTTAATCTAACGCATAAGCAAAGCTATTATTGAAATTTAAAAAGGTGGTTCCATTGAATTACATGCTGTAGTCTGTGAAGCGATTTGACGCTTTAGTCTGCTTAAAAATACGCTCTCACCACTTAAGTGCAGCTATATAATGATCAGCTTGGTTATGTCACCAGTGCGAAGTGGATAACATTTATATCCTTAGGAACGGAAACGCATTTTTTTTTCTGATTACAGTTTGTCTTGAATTGGAAGCACATATTTAGTAAACCACGCATCCTATCAATAAATGTTTGTACCGTTGGAGTAAACGGCTACAGTTACAAACACGGATTTGTCCATGGTATTCCTGATAAGACTGAATGGCAACCATGTAGATCGTGCCATGTGCATCAACCACCTGCGTTGATTGTGGCCATGTATCACTGTTTACATTTTTCTTATTGAACCTAACCTTCTTACAGCTAATCAATAATCAGGAAGAACTAAATCATTTTCAGTCTTCCATCAAATATGTTGTGTTTCCCAACTTAATAAGTTAGCATAGGTATTTGATTTTTTAGTATTCCCTAGGTCGTTTGTAGAAAGCTTGAATCACGGACAGGGTTTGACCATGAATGACTATAATTTTGCATCAAATATTGCTCTTTTGATATTAAAAAGAATATTTCTGACTTTTCCATGACACAAAGAAAATAAGCTGCGTTAAATCATCCAAAACCCAGTAACATATCCTTCTGGTAGTTTGAAAATTTTCAAGGAAACTGCTGTTATATATATCTTAGTTGTTGTTCTAATGCGTTTTTTCTATAAGTTAAAATAGCATAAATGCCAATAATTAGTACCACAAGGCGTCTTAAATTTTAAGCTAATGTCTGATAACTATAGCCTTATATATCCCTATTTGTCCCAATCTTGGATATTGATAAACCCTTATTGGAATTATTATGTTATATTTCGGAGTAAAGTTTACGTAATTGCAAGGACAAACGCGCCGTTACTCTGTTCCGTCATATGTGTATGTAATGAAGATCTAACCACACTTATTTACTACCGGTTTTGGCGACCTCACATAGTTACATTGTTTCCACTACCATTTAGTTAAAAACAAAGGAACCTTCAAATGGCAGCCAGAGAATTGGCATTCAGGGAAGATTCCAAATTTACCTGGGACTTCCTGCTTGCCATATGTCCTCTCCGCTTTACAACTTCCAAAATCTTCCGAATATCACAAACTGCTGGCACTGAAACGTCCAACGATGTTTCAAAGAAATGCACTGGCGGTCTCGATGGGTTTACGCATTCAACAACGCGCTTACCTACGACTGGCCAACGCTACTGCATTTGAAGGGCTGCGCGCATTACTAGACGCATTTGGTGATTTGCAAAATGGACTAGAGAACATTTCAACACAAGTCTATACGATTCGCGGACGCTTATGGAGCGATGAAGTGAAATTTTCTCAGGTACTTGCTCAATACGTAAACATATGCGTCAAGGCAAATATCGGGTAGGCACACGGAATGAGAAAACTCTCTAGCATTACCTAGCTAAACGAACTCCGAATATATATATTTATTATAGTACTAATGCTAGGAAACCAACTAGCTTTTGACGGAATTGTGGAAGGAATTTTTTAAATTAGACCGCCATTGATTGTAAGCCAGCTGTTTAAATTATGTTGAATTTGATGACGCAATATACTAGTTAATTGTACATATTGGTTGTCTCCTGTTGTCTCCTCAAGCTTCCACGAAAGTTCTCTCGTACCATATAAAGAGCCGTAAGCATTGTGTATCGGAACAGTATCCTTTTGCCTACGATATATACATTTTCCTTTCAACCAAACACTGTAGAGTTTGAGCATTGTAGTTAGACTGATTTTAAGTTAGTGAATGATGGGAACACATTTTGCCGGTTTTGCATAATTGAAAGCATGTGGTGCTTTTTATAGACAAAACAAACAGTAGGCAAAAGGCGATAAAATGATATACCTCCAACTAATAATGTGCCAAAGGCTCGATAAGACATTGTTCTTCCTCTTATTCCCTTGGTTTAATTTTCAGCTGCACCTTTTTCTGTTACTTTCTTACAGCTAAGAAACTAGTGATTTACTCTCATGCGACAACGAACTGGTCATGTAATAGCTAACTGCTGCTTGCCGTTTCTATCAAATTGTTAGGGGGACGACTGATCCAAAATTCCTGCCCGGAAAAACTTAATTGCATATTTGCAATTTTATTTGAACGATATTAGCTACTTCCTATTTTCAATTAATTTGGCATGATTAATTTTCACACAAAGTACCAAAAAAATAGCCTTACCCATTTCAGGTATATGTGTCTTGCTTTAAAATTTAGTCTAATATAATGTTTATGTTTTAATTTGTGTTTAATCAAAAAATATATTTTGGGCTTTGCGCTAGACCAGTTTATGTTTGTTCGTTCAATCTACTGTATGCGATTACAAGTACCAACTCGAAGGCTTTTGGGTTATGTGATATGACTCACACTCTTAAATGCATGTACAATAATGACCATAGTAAGTGATATACACTACACTTTCTTTCAACGAAAATGCATAGGTGATTGCACTATATGTTGAAATTACTTACCAGAAACACTGCATAAGCGCCGCTACAATTTTACCCACGGTTGCACACGGTGCGTTATTGGTTGCGCATGACATGAAGCGCAATAGTATCAACAAGTATCAAAGGTTGCTCTCAAATTGTCCTGAAATAAATCCCTATATCAAGTACTCACATATTAAAATACACATTTACTTAATAACCAAAGTAAGTTAAATAAGTATTAACGTGGTTTTGTTTCAGCTTATTCGAGTAGAAATCGGTTGTGTTTTCACATTACCACATCCAGATGTTTCCCGTGATTCACTTATAAGAAGTGTCAGCTTAGTTGTTGAAATTTATGCAGAAAAGCAAAACAGATTTTGGACTGTAAATACACGCACTATGATTAAGTACACGGGTTATCCCAATATGGTAATAATAGAAACATTTTTCAGGTTGACTGTAAATGAGCTAATAATTCCGATGTTTATACACTTTCGCATATTTTAAACTGTGTCAAAAGTTTTCATGGTTTCGCTCTCATCATTTTAGAAGCGAAAAAGTGGTGGAAGTCGCTGCGACTCAGATGTCCCACAGCACCTCAGGAACTTGTTGGATATTACAAATAGCTTCAACGAAGAACTTTGCAATCTGCCAGTTTCCGGTTATTTCTATGGCAGTTACGCTTTAAGCTGTGCAGAGAAACAATGGCTAGCAGGTTCTTCCGGGAATTCCTTCACCAAGCATCAAACTAATATGACTACTGACTACATTTTTTATCCGAGTTTGAACTTTCTGAGTAAAGAAGACATGGATCGCCGTACTCGACTAGAGCTTCAAATACTTGACATGTTTTTCAAGAATATATCACCCCAAACTGTTCTAAAAGAACTCTTGCGACGTCACTTACGCAGCCTTTCCGCAATACGTATGCAGCTTCGACCAGCAAAAGTGGCAGGGCCCTCCACCATTGCCCCTCTAGACGTCCAACATCCGAGAGGAATCGAAGTGATTTCTACCTCTTCTCCAACAATATCATGTAATAATAAGCTACCGGAGAGTATGCGATATGCATATGACAGTGAACTGCTTGCATTGGGAGAGAGCATAGCTTCTACCTTACAAAGGCTTGATTGGTTTTTCAACCACATGCAAGAAATTGTCAAGGTGAATCGAGCCGTAATCAGCACCTTTCAGCTTTCGCACGCAAATCTCTCACAAATTCCACACACAAGGTGAGCAATTAAGACTCGTTTAGTCCCTTGTTTCATTATGCATTTAGTGTAATTTGCTAATTTAAATTTTCGGTTAAATTTTATATATTTATGCAGTGTGAGGGCAAGTGGTTTGGTAACTGCTTTTCTGTAATGCGACGTGTGTAACCGATATGGTAAGAAACATTTAAATCATTTTGCCTTGTTGATTTTTTACAGCTTATATTGATTTATACGTTTTTGTTACTCTGATGCCAAACGTGACACAATACAGAAAATTAATTTAGAAAGTTGGGAGGCAGTTCTAAACTTTACTGCTTTATCCAGTCTTGCCTACTGGTTATTTTATTATCCCCATAGTAAATAATTTGGTTGCATTGACACCAACCACGGTTCTGCTTAACATTTTTACTCGTCATAAGCTTTTCGAATAATATTAAGGATTAAAGATCTGTATTTGTTTATTCAGCGTAGGTATTTCTCGCAAAAGGGCGAAGCGGTTTGGTGTAATTTCCTAAGTCTGACCATGTGAAATTGCCATCGAAATGCTCTCTAGAGAATTTGTGTGATGAAGCAGTGACGAGTAGGTCGTGCTGTCATATTCAATGCAACCAATGATCAAGAGATTAACGGCGAGCGGGATTCTAAAACATTATACACGTTATTGACAATTCGGTAACTGCATAACTTAGGTTCAACCCATTTGACGTCTGTCTCTAGATTACTAAAGAATTATATAGGGTTTGAAAAACAGTTGGCAAAACACCGCTCTCGTAAACGTTTCTTGCTATACCAATAGCACTTTTCGTAGAACCGGTGTAAACTACTACATAAATTGCCAAAACAGTGGAAGAAACTTTGGTGTGTGGGCCGTAATGCTGGGCGAATTTTAGTAATCATTGTGCTAGAAAACATTGGTAAATAAATTTCTTTAACAAAGATTGTTTTATGCAATCTAATTTAACATTGCATCAGGTATATACAATTAGTTTATCCAATGCAAATAATACTAGTAAAAGTAATAAGCATATAAAACTACAAGGGAACAGAACTGGACATCACGTAATAAGTAATAAAACATTTCACAGCTAATTTCTGCACAGAATTGGCTAGTTTAGACATAACATATAAAACGAATTTTTTTCTGCCCAGCCTTGTATCCTTCTCAGTGCAAGTCGAAAGACATGCCAGCACGATGGTCGCCCACAGCCTCTCTTCATTAGACAAC